ATACATTTGACTTTGCAAAATCTCTAATTTATACACTGCACATTGTCAGTGACATAATGGAGTTAATTAGTTGTGTGTTTTCATTCACAGTGGAGATTTTAAAAGTCATATGGTAAAATTACATAGTACTTAATTTATAAAACTTAAGTTTAGTGTATCAGCACATAAAAGTGAAATATGAAATCAGAAATGCCAGTATGGAGTCAATTAAATAATAATTTGACAAAAAGTTTGCAAATTATCATCAATCAGTAAGTCATAAAATACCATGACAGCCTAGATTAAGTTCAGTACTGGTTATCTGATATAATATACATCAAAACCTGTGAAAACAAATGCTTCTCATATTTGAATAGTTGGTATATTCTTTTAATAGCTTACTTCATGTAGAAATTTCCTCATGTCATAATTTTATTTAAATGTGCTAACATCAAACTAATTATACAACCCCATATGTTTACAGAATTTATGTAAACACAAAACAAAAGGAAGGCAAATGAAATTACAACAGGCAAAATATCCCAATTTATAATCTTAATTTAATACAACAAATGCTGTTGCCTTGCTGAAATCCAACAAATTCTAAAACTTGAATTTCTTTATCAGTGTTTGTCAATACTGTTCTCAAACTGCTTAAAGATTGTGGTTCCCATGTATAATCTGAGGAGGCATCATCATTGCATATCTCCAATTATCAGCAGCTACAACATTATTTAGCCTTATCTTATATGTTTTTTGAATAATAAGTTTCTTCCCCATTGGATCAAAATAATGAAATCAATAATATTTATCATTCTAACTTCAAACATAAATGTAAACCAAGAATACAAACCCAAGAAGCACTAAGTTACACATTACCTGATTATATATTTTTCACCCAAAATTTTGTAAGAATATATAACTGATATTCCTGACATATTCATTTTGTTTGTTTTTCCAAAGATAACTAGCATAAAAATAAGAACCCAGCTAACAAAATTCAGATTTTGCTGAGGGACTGAGAATCAGATGTCAGTCTAATTGTGGGTCATTTAGTTGAGTTCTGTTAAGTTGTCTAAGCAGACTAAAAATATATATAGTGATTTCTATGACAGTATATAGAGTTGTAACATGTGGCATCAACTAGCAAGAGGCAGAACAGATTTACTCAACTTGAAATGAACTGAATCCAGAAAAGAAGTCAGGGCCAAAGCATAGGCCATTGACCTTCTCTTTACCTTAGATCTTGGATTTACATATTAAGGGAGCAGCATTTTCCTGATGTTCTGTGTGAACCAGGTGCACATGAAGGGCAATGTACAGGACAGAGCAGCAGCCTGATGTTTGGATCTGAGTAAGGAAAATCATGATGCCAGCAAGGAAGAGTGTGTATGAGTACAAGTACAAGTACACAGAGTCTTTTGGGGTTTTGTTTCCGCTTTCTTCTTTGTTTGATTGTTTGTTTTTGAAATGCAATTTCAAAAAGGGAGAAGTGAAGTGGTACAAAATTACATTACATATTTTAGACTAAAGGGAATTTTATATTTAATAATTGCTCTTTTTGAGCTAGAGTTGGCCATTGAGCACAGGGATGTATAATTACTCCACAAAATATTTTAGACAATTTGTAATTATAATACATTGATTCTGCATACTTATAATAGGCAGTTATATACTTAAGTCATATCCCAGGTGTTGTGGCATAGCTCTCTAAACAGCACATGTCAAAATAGTTACCCAAAGTCTCAGGATATCAGATTAGTTCTTTAAGTAATAGAAATAGATACCATTATTTTAAATCACTGTTGCAAAACTGGTGCCTGTTCTTTAAATGACAAAAAGCCTTATATTCTACAATAAGTATTAAATAATAAAAAAAAAACTAAAACCCCTCCTATACCTATTTGTTAGTTGATGTTAGAAGCCATGTTTTCCACAACAATGTGTCTTTCTTCTGAATATTAAGATGGTTGTAATGGTGAAGAGCAACCGTTTTATTTTACATAATTGTTATGGCGATGGCCATTAAATTTGTTCGAATTACAGGCATAGAAACTTGGTGATCAGATTGAGTTAGTTATTTTGATAAGGGTTTATTCATGTATAAAGAACAATAAGGATATATTTCGTACATGTATTTGACATACCTTTAAAACTGCTAGCATCCTTTATGAACTGATAGTAAATCTCTGCTGTTATCTATAATTTAAAAACAAGATGCCATGTGACCATTGCCTCAATCCTTTATATCAAAGATGTAATTGGAAAAGGTGAAATACCTGCCAGGAAAATGATTCCTGCCAGGAATTGTTGAGGTTTTTCAATAAATTGAGTATATCTGCATGCAGTCATACATTGAGAACTTATGTGTAACCTCTATTTCTTTTCATACAAATCTTTAAATGCTTTTGCTGTCCAGATAAATCCCTAACACTCAACAAATGATGCACAAAGTAGATTAATTTTGAGTTTCAGTCACTCAGCATTATCTGAATTTTTGTGAACGAACTCAAAGACATTGACAGCATAACTAAGTATTGTATATGATTATATATCTTTATGTGTGTGAATGAGATGTACATGCATGCAAATGCATCTGTACTAACATTCTATACACGAGCAAACATTTGTGAATATATAATATAGATGTACATATTTCCCATAAAAGCACAGTGTAACATTTGACACAGAATACTGTCTGCTCTCTGTTTCATGGAACAATTCAGGCGCTACAAAGATCTGACAGCAACAACACAAATATTCTAAGTGAAAATTATTTACATACAAGCCTAGCTTGCATTATCTTGAGTTATGCACTCACAAAAAAATGCATATGACCCAATCTTGCATGGTGCGTCTTCTTCTTCCTTAGGAACCTCCTTGCTCTGTCCTGTAGAACTGATAAGTTACCCTCTCTAATAACGTTTCCTAAAACTTCAAATACACAATTATGACTTTGCAGTCCTTTCCAACGAAGTCCCCAGCGAATGTCTACATGCTCACCTGGTAAATAAAAACAATTCTCTCATGAAGCAAGCAGGAGATTGGTTCAATTATTTAAAAACTATATATATTTTTCTAATATAATGTGTTCATTTTGCATTTTGCATGTTTCTGGGTGACTGCCTCCATACAGCACATAAGTTTTCTGAGTTTCCACTTCTTTTTCTCCCAAGACTTCCAGACTCCCCCAAGTGGATGCCAGAGAAATTTAGTCTCTAAATAAAAGACACTTCATAATGAGCTTTTATCAATATGCACCGAGCATTTTCTAATTGAAGCATTATACGTGAAAATCGTCTCTTAGACAAATTTATCACTCCCCCATTATACCCTATAATTTATAACTCATTCACTTGACTACCATTTTATCTTTGGAAAAAAAAAGTGAAATCAAACTGCCAGATTCATTTAAGCAGCATGTTATATCTTATGGTGGTCATTGCTACATAAAGTCCTATATGCAGGACACACAAACTGGACCGCATTGCAATCTTGACCGACTGAAACGTAAAACAAACACAGCGTATATCAGACTGCAGTTTACTCTGACATAGGGCATCAGAATGTCTGGAATCTGCTTTAACCAATTAAGCCTTTCAAGGCAAAAGGAAAATAAAGCCTTCAGTAAATCCATTGAAGGCACCATCTCCCAGCCTCCCATGCCTGGTATCGATCTTTTTAAGTGCCGACTAATGAGTCCTATGGTAGTAGCAGATCTATGGTGTGTGTATCTGATGTGGTGCTCTCACACCACCGCCTCAGAGGAGCTAAACTTACAGAAAGAGAAGATCACTTGGGAGGGGTTTGGGGAGAATCAGCCCTTGCTGATGGCTACCTTGACCCTTTAAAATCCAGCCTCAATCTGTCTCCCTGAAGGCAACAGACCCCATTCCCTACTTTCCGTGACAAGTGCAGTAGTTTATGTGCAGGAGATTTTCCTTTCAGGTCGCTTCTAGGGCGAAGCCATATGCTTTTGTTCAGCACCTCTCTTGCTTGGGAGCTCCTGGCAGCAGCTTCTCTTGCCGCAAAGCATCCTTTTCCTCTCAGCTTTGGCAATTTAGGAAGAACTGATGCTCCCAGGGGAGGTGGATGAGGGGAGAGCTCCAGGAACAGGAACACATCCATCAGGAGTCCCTGCATCTCCCTTCTCTCCACTTCCACTCGCATTGCCATAACTCCCCTCCCCCAAGCACTTGTGATATGTGTAACGGGGGTGGGGGGGGGTAGTGGGGTGGGGGTGCGGGGCATTCACACTCCATTCCAAAGATGCATCAAAGCGCAGACTCCCATAAGCCAAACCCAGTGGCACCTGGCACCTGCCCCGATTCGCTGCAATTGGAAGCGGCCAGCTTGGGTACTAAATTATTAATTTATTTATTTCCCGCCGCGCCCCCCCCGCCCGCATCCCTACCCATAGAGCAGAAGCCAAGGTCTTGTTGCTTCCCCTCCCGCCCCCAACCTCCTCCCGCACCTCGCAGGAGTCTCGCACTTGTAACTGGCCATCGCCTCCCAGCCCCTGGCGGTCGCGACGCGCTCCCACTCGTGGCCAGGCTGGAGCGGCCGTGGGTCCCGGCGGCGGGGGAGGCGGGGAGGAGGTGGCGGGTGACAGATGTACTCCTCTGACAGCTCTCAGTATCAGCCCAGTGGCTCCCTGCCATTGGCTCAGTGCGATGGACCGGCAACGCCGCGCACTATAATAACACTCATGCCTGCCAGCAGCAGCGACTGCAAGTGCGGGCGCCCGGCGCGGGGGATGCTGTGGCCGCTGCTACTGTCGCGCAGGCGGCTCCCGTTGCCTGGCTGCGCCCTACAGCGCGGGCTTTGACCGCTCCCTCCGGGTCCCGCCCGGCCCGGCACGGTACGGCCCCCTCCTCTTGGCCGTATACCCCACCCCGCAGGGCTCTACATCCCAGCTCCGATCAGCAGGAGAACACTGCACTGGAGTCCGGGTGAGCGCGGCCGGCATGTGGAGGCGGCAGGGCGCGCACCGCAGCTAGGCATAGGAAACCCTTGTGCCCGCCGCCAGCGCACCGCCAGCCGCTCGCCCTGCCGAGATCCCCAGCCCACCCTTCCGGCCACGGCTGCGGCTGCGGGCGCGGGTGCGTGGAAGCGGCGGCTGCGGAGGAGAGGCGGCGGCTGCCCCATGGAGTGTTACTACATCGTCATCAGCTCCACGCATCTCAGCAACGGACACTTTCGCAACATCAAGGGAGTTTTCCGGGGACCTCTCAGCAAGAACGGGAACAAAACTCTGGTAATCTCTCTGTGTCTGTCTGTCTGTGTTTCCGTGTCTCCGTCCCTCATCTATCTCTCAACTAATTGGGCTTACCGAGAGAAGTGAGTTGACTGATGGGTTTGGGAGCTTTCTCGATTTTGATTTGCAAAGCATTCGTTTATTTCACTTATGTATCTGATGGGTGTGAGATGAGAATCGGGTGTAGGAAAAGAGAAGGAATGTTAGGAAAGCTTTAATGAAGCTTTCTGTCCACCACACTCCACATTGCTGACGATTTATCAGTCTCTTCTTATTTCAACAGGACCTTCTAAAAATAGAAAGGAACACCAACCCCAAGTGATCCCCTTGCACCTTTCATTTTAGGCACTTGAAGGTGATGATGGTGTGGGTGTCTCTGCTGGAATAGGGAGACATGTGACTGGTGGCTTAGGACAAGTGGCTGGATTGAGTGAGCATCTCTGAAAAAGCTCCATTCTTTCTTCTTGGCTCTTGGTTGAAGGACTGGCAGACAGCAAACTTCTCTTCTGAGAAGTTGTCTGTACTAAGATAAACAGAATGATCCCATTAGTCCATGCTGTCAACTTGTCACTGTATAGAGTTTAGGGATATAGGTGGAAGGTGATCACTGTATCACAATTACAGCCAGTAGGAAGCACGCTAGAAAACAAAACCCACACAGCTATTCTCACTGGATAGCACAGCTTGTCCTTCAGCATCCGGTAGGAAAAGCACTCTTGATTGGTGGAAGATGTGCCATGCCTAGCATTGACGGTTCAAGGGAATAGCTCCTATGTTCCCACCAAAATTCTGTCAGCCACAAAGCCTTCATATAGAACAAACTCTCGTGATCAAGTATATCTGGAGAACTCCACACTTCTCCAACGGAAAAGAGCAGGAGCTGAGGTCCCTTTAGTATGCAAGCTGAAGAGTTCAACTAGTTAGAGTGTAAAAGTGTATGATTTTCTGAAATCTGTGCCCACTGGCGAACTTCATTAGACTTCTCACAGAGCTCGCTTATCTGAAAAGATAGAATAGTTCAAGGACACAGTTCAAAAGCAAGTGTGGTTTTCTTAACATAATTCTCTTTATATATTTGAGCGTGTGTAAACATAAGCAAAAAATTGCCTAAGATGTGTTTCCGAGCCTGAAAAGTTCTCAATTGAAATCTTCAGTGAATTCAGACACAGGAAACACTTGATTCACTATTTCCTTGACTACCAAATTTTAGGTGATTTACACACAAAAACAGAGGCTTACTTTGATATCATTGTTGTTCGGGATGTTTTTATGTAGTTTTTATGTTGTTGTTGTTGCACAACAGGACATATGCTGGAAACTTCAGTGGTTGAGCATTAAAAGGTAGGCAAAGTCTAGAAGACATATTGAAAGTGTCTGGGATCGATTTAGAAGGTTTGACTAAAATATTAAAGAGAAAAACCATTTCTTCAACACATTTGGCTTTATTCATTTAACCAAGTTTAATTTGAGGACAAGCAAAGGGAGAGGGATACATCCAATCTGTAGATGCTAAGGCACTCAAGAGTTCACAGGAAAATGAGCAGTTATTTGAGAAAGCTGAACTTATTCCAATCACATCATTGTGCCTCTTCAGTCTTCTTGTGCTTTCCAAAGACTCGGGTAGCTTGGGATGATTTCTTTGCTGTGTATTTGACATTAATGAGCTCTTCATCACTTATGTTGACAAAGGGCAGGTTAAATGTGAATTTTGTCTGTGTAAACCGCATGATTAAAACGGGCACATTAAATGCTACCACCTAAATAAGACGAATAAGTCAAAATACTTGTGTCAGAAACAACAAACAGGGAGATGCTTCCTGAAATAAAGTTCATGTTTCTTATAACTGTAATATAGGGTGAATTTTGAAGGGGTGAAAATGATAGTCCTCCAGACTTTTATAAGATTTCCTGTCTGTATTGGCTGTTTGTAAGCTTTATGCCGACTTAAATTCAGTGTATGTTCACATTAGTATTCAACTCCATTTAAAGCTATTTTCTTATAGGAATGTATGTATATGTGTTCTAAGTGCTTTTTTGATGAGTTCTGCCATTGGGAAAAATGAGACATGTGCCTGTCCTTAACTATAATACCAGAGTCCAGATATATTTGATGAAGGAATTATATTAATTAATAAAGACTAGTTCATACTTATATAATACTATATTTTTTCAGATAAAAACAGATAATTTGACCTGATGTTTGAAACCACCAACTTTAATATGGACATACACTGTGTGATGAAAAATTTTGAGTTAAAGTTTACTAATATCAGGTAGTTTTAATTCTTAGTTTTTATGTTAATATGTTGTGTGTGTAAAATATATACAATATTTTAAATCTACATTCATATAGTAATATTCAGAAATAGTTATACTATTTTATATTTGAATTTTGCCTCTAAGATAAATGAATTTGAATGATATCTGTGTAAGTATCTGCTTATTTTTATTTCCTAAGGGGATAAAACATAGACACCCACAGAAAAACAATTTGATTTCCCCCAAAAGATTGAGCTATTTTGAATTAATAACTGGTTAATGAGTGGTTTTTTCTTAATTTCTTCAAGGTTCAGATTAAATAAAAGCCATTGTATAACATTAAAATAATTCTGAAGATAAATTTACTCTGTAGGATTTTTTAATATGGAGTGTTATCATTAAGAAAAGTTACTTGCAATGTGTCTAGTTTATTCAGATTTCAGTGTCATTGTTTAATTGCTTCTGTCCTAAATACAAGAATTCATTTACACAAATGAATTAAATAGCAAATATGGGGAGAAGGCCAATCAATAAATTAGCTTATTTTCTTCCTAAATCTGGACCTTCCTCTATCAAAAATGGCATCTGTCTTATAGAACTAAGATCTTGGTGAGAAGTTGTGGTTGTTCATGTATCTACACATATAGTTTTTAAATGCACTGTAATTCCAGAATTCATCAGTTTTGAACTTACTGATGAACTTTCTCAACTTAACAGTTGTAATAAACATAAAACCCTTAATTTTTGTCGTTTCTTAAAAACAGTGTAGTAAAGCAGTTTACTTGTTTTTGTGTCCATTACAAATTGCATCATTTCTCAACATAGCATAATTTCATGGACTAAGAAAATAATCTTTTATTAATGACACAGATTACTGGAAATAAAATACAGAACTTAATGTTCTTAAATAAATATTAAGATCTATATAATCTATTTTAAACTTTAATTACATGAACAACTACTTTTTAAATAAAAATATTTATGAATAGATTTCTGCAGTTTATCCACAGAAATTATTTGAACTACCTTTATATTTTCAATGTTTTAATGTGTAACTAATAATGTGAAATATATTCATATGGAATTTTAGTGCAAAATACAGGTTTTGATTTAGAAACTTTAGATGCCATTGTTAGTTTGCACTGTATCTGTTGGTTGCTTAGAATGTTCATGTCTCACTTAATATTTTAATATCATAGAATTAAAGAACCAAAAATGAGTCAACAATGGTGGCAGATCACACATGGAGTTACTATTATGGTGAAGATTTTATGACATATTGTAAATCATAAAATTTAAAAAGACCAGTATAATAATATGAGTCAGAGATAGTATTGCCTCAGGTTTAGTTGAAACAATTTTACTTTTCTTCTTGTCTTCAAGTACAGATATGTAATACTAAATTTTCAAAAACCGAATTTAGATGTACTTTCCTTCTTGTCCTCAAATGGGCAAATAGCCCTAACTTTTCATCAATGTCTTAGTTCTGTAGGACAATCAACACTGTAGATATAGAGTCCCAGGTTCAGTAAGAACTTAATTTATTGATTAGTCTTCCATGAAGTTGCTATTTAATTTATTCAGCTTCAGTGAGAAGCTTCAGCTGCATTGGGCTTGCTGCATTGGGCTTTTGGAAGTACCAATAATTCTGTGGATCACTAGGCAAATATTTCTGTTCAACACACTTGATCATTTGACTTCAACTTTAATGTTGTCCATTCCTTTGACATGTCTGCAAGTTTATTGTCACTGGGGATTTTCCCCATGTATATTCATTTTAAAACATTTTTAAAAATTATTTTTGTGTGTATAGTAGAAGAGACAGAAGTTAGATTGACCTTGACATATACTATGTCTTTTGTCTTGTCATTAAATATAATTTACTTTTCATGAAATTTCTTTACATTCTTCTGTCTTCTAGAAAATATTGTTTTAAAGTTTATTTGACTCACTGAACTATTTTGGGGATTACCATAAGGCTTTAAGGCTGAAGAGATTGATTGCTGAGTAGATGATATTAAACAAAGATCATTTGTAGATTACAATCACAAATGACTTAGGGTAAGGTTAGAATCAGGTGGAATATGCTCCTATGATCAATAACTACATAATGTTCTGAGAAACTTTTCGACTCATGCATTCAGCATGCCTGAGACAATTGGGTCTCAGTTTTCTGAACTAAATGTGTCATTCAGTATTTGGTGTTATTTTAGTAAGTTTATAGTATTTACATCTTTAAACATATTATTCAACTGAGAAAAGTTACTGATAATTGAAAGGTTATTATTATGACTTAAAAGTGAATATATCATTGAAAAAAAGAGTATCTTCATACTTTTGGTCATTAGTTACTTAGAACCTCAGAAGTGAACTAACATTGTGTTGTGATATTGATGTTGGCAATGTAATTTTATTAAAAAGTAGAGGAGGACCTAGTCCAGAAATTTTATTGCTTTTTATTTGGAGACATTTCCAAATTGTAGATTATGTTTTAAAATGTGCAGTGTTTCAAAATATTTGTGTTTCATTATTGTTTGAAAATAACATGCACCCCAGTTGTAAAGCTGAGGAATGAGTATTGAACTGAACCAAACTCTCTTATTGTGGATGCCAGTTGGGAGATGTGAACAGTCCATGGGCCCTCCAACAGTGGAACCAATATTTATCCCTAGTACCCAAATCAACTTCAGGAGCTCAGTCCCTATGGAGGAATACTATTTCAGCCCAGATACATGGAGGAG